TCACTTGATGTAAAGTCAATTGATTGTTTTTTAGTGACAAAAATACTTCTGGACCCATATTATGGTACAATTTTAGGATCTTTTTTTATATCATATGTTGTCTGAAGATAAATATCTGTGCTCACAATGTGTTACTGTAGTATCTCAAATTTTATTTTTACATTTAAGACACTAATAGTTTTCAACCAGAACTCCTGTTTTTTATCAAATCAAGTGTTATTTATGGTTGTATATTAGCAGAAAGAAAACCAGTAAGGTGAATATCTACCTTACCTGGAGTATGTGAATGGTAGATACATATAACAAAAGATAAGATAACACTGTAGGGCTGTATTCCAGACAAATGTGACTAGGATGTCTGTTGTGTAAAACTTGATGTTATTAAATAGTATTAGGCAATTCTACCTTAATTACTTCAGCTTTGGTCATCATGATGTCTTCTCCATTATCAAATGAAGCTATTTAAAGATAATGATCCAGGAATTAATTCATGAGATTGGCTTTAAAATAATTATGGTTTTAAGTTGTTAAATAAGCATTGGGTTTGCTTTTTTCCCCACTACATTTTGATAGTAATCTCTATCTTAGAGAAGCTCAGAGTATTTCTTCTAATCGTCAAGGCTTAATTTTCACTTTTTTTCTTTTATTATGATGGCTGGGATTTGTTAATATAGTTATTGAAAATCAAGAATCTGACCTATTGCAAAGAAGATCTTGAGAAAGAACACATATTGCAGGTATCACGCTAAAGTCCCAAAGCAATGTCACCTCATCTGTGCATTATCAGATCAGTTGTCTGATCACTAGCCATTGTGTGGGATGCACCTGTGCTCCGAATCTATTTATTCTTTGTGGTCATATGTACCGTGCGGCCTTATGTCTTGTCTTCAGTTTAATCTGTACAGCACCCTTCCTGTAGTAGAAATGTGGTCAAGACTGCAGGTAGCCTCAGGAATACCACTCACAGATCTGTCGATGCTTGAAACAGATGAGAACTTACTTTTGCTTTTCAGAGATAAAGACAAAAAACCAGAGAATTTATCAGCAGTTACATTGTCCTATTCTCTGGTAAGTGGTGACCATATGTACTCTCTGTTTTTCAGGAGTCTTTTACACATTTGAAAATGCTTCCCCATCCATCAGTCTTTTCTCCTCAAGACCAAAACCATCTGGTTTTCAATCTTTCCATACTTCCAATCTTTTTCTTTTTTTTTTTCCTTTTTTTTTTTTTTTTCTTTTCTGTCCTCTGGACACTTTCTCATCTTCTTTGACATGAAAATTTCAAAACTGAAAACAGTACTCCTGATTAAGCCTTCCTGTAGCTGAAGGTGGAAGGACCTGTATCTCATATGCTTACTCTTCCTGCCTATTACGATGCCTGTTTTTCTTTTACAATAGTATCATTATCGACTGAAGATAGTGGTTAGCCATCCTTCACACATTCCCATACCTCCATTGTATTTTCACTAGGAATTCTGCCTGGGCATTTGCTCCCCATCTTGTATTTTTACAGCTGATTGTGGCATTTTGCACCAGACAGATGCCACATATTTTGGAAAACCAAGGCAGGGGAGAGGGGGGGATTTGGGAGTGGTAGATAAGGAGGAGACTTCAGCTCCCCTGGGATCCTACTGCTCTGCTGCGGGGTGCAACTAAGCAAAACTTGTGCTTGTGTCTCTTGCTAATTCATTTATTCCCACAGATATGTTCACATTTACAAACAGCATAAAACGTTTTTAATACCACCTAGTTCAAGTACGAGTTAAGATTTAGCAGCATGAGCTGCAAATGGCTGTAGAGCTATAGACCATTACCCTGTTCGAGACCGGATCTATTTTTTTTCACACTATTCTAAAAGGCTGCATGTGTCAGTGTCAAAAGTCTTTTTTTAAGACCATGAAAACTATATCTACCATTTCTCCCTGAGGACCAGCACCTGTTACTCTGTCATGAAAAGAAATATGATTAGTTTGGCACAATTTCTTCCTAAAAAATCTTGACAATTATTTATCACCTCTGAAGAGCTTACATGTAGGTGGTTTGATTGCTGGTTCCAACATCCTTATAGGAATTAAAAATAGAAAGATATGAAGTTACAGTTTCATGGGTCTTCCTCCTCCTTTTTTACAAAAAGACATAATGGCCTAATTGAGCAAATTATTTCAAAGGGAACATAGGTGCTTGGAAATTAAGAATATAAACCTATCTAAAAACCAAAATCATAGATACTTTGCTGAAGCCAGGACTGTAGCTCTCTTTTCTAAGTTTCTTTTCTCCATGAAGTCTCAAAGGTGTAGCCATTACTAGGCATGAGTCTGCTTCATTGGTTCCCTCAGTAGCCTAGGTTTCATTTCATCAGGCTCTGCCAATTGAGAGTGGCTGCTTCATCTAAGCTGTACCTGACCTGTTCTCTGCCCACTCTGCTCTGAGTTCTTTAGCCCTATTGCTGACATTAATTATGTTAGTCATTTAATCACAGGTAATCTTTTTACAGTAGTGACTGAGGCAAAAAGAGCGCTAACTGCCTTGGGTTTTTTATGTCATGTATTATTAGCTTTCCTTCCTTCCCACATAGTGAAATGAGTCTGCTTTTGGTATTATTATTATTAATGCACTTAAAGAAAGTTTTCTTGTCACCTCTAATGTCCCTGACTGTCTCATTTTCTAGACTGACTGTTCTGCTTTGCTGTTACATGCCCATATTGTTTTTCTGTGTTCATCCTTAACATTCTAATCTAGTTTTCATCTTTTGTACAATTCTATATAAAGCAGCAGGCCACTGAAAAGTCATGGCTTAAGCAAAATGATCTCTGATTTTACCTACTATTTCTCTTTTTCATTAGGACAACTTGTGCTTGAACTCTTTGTATTGTCTATTTATCTTTACCAGTTCTCCTGAACTCCTTTTCCCTTACCGTTGCTTGCCATAACATTAAATGTATTCATTCTGTGAGTTTATTAAAATCTGGGGATTTTAAAACCATTGTTGTTAATTTTTTGTTGCTTTTCTTTCTTGCTGTCCTAAGCATCACAAATTAGATCATTTCACCCAAGTTGTCTTCCACCTCCTACACGTTTCACACAAGTATCTGCATAGTTCTGTGCTCTGGATGCACCGTTAGTTAATTTAAAAAATCATCATCTTCTTGAACTTTATTGTCAACTACATTGTTGACTTCTTTTAAAAACATTTTCTCCTTTCTTTTTTTTATAATTATCCACAGACTTCAATACAGTCCATATGGTATTACTCAGAGCAAGTGTGTATCCATTTCTGATGATACAAAATCATACATACTTTCTTTATTTCTTACATTTCTTCATGAGCAAGCTATAGCAGTCTCAATCTAGCCTCTATTACACCTTCTATGTATCATTTTGATTAAATATTGGTGTACAAGTTCACAGTTTGTTCTTAGTTCTCTGATATTCACTGTGTTCCTATGATTTTTACCTATTGGTGAGCTTGTGTCATCAGCCTTCACATAAACTAATGTAAAGTCATGCTCACTAGGTCTGAGATTCATCTCCCCTCATTTTAACTCTCTAGAAACTGAACAACTAGCCTAAGCAGAACTGAAGTTGGTTTACCTAACTTAACATGTAGGGTCATTTCAGCCATCTGACTAGGATCCCAACATAGTCACTGGAGATTCAGTCAATATATTAAAATTTTGAATTTATTTTTGTTGCAGTTCATTTGGCCAAAAACAGGGGTCTGAATGCTTATTCAATGAGAACAGGCTTCGTTTAAATGCAACAGAAAAAAGGATCCAAGGATGAGAGCTTCTGTTATCCACTGAGGCAACAGACTCCTGACATATTTTTTCAAGAGAGAGTTCCTAGATAGATCATATGATAAAATACAGCTTACAAACACATGCCTAGTAGACCAGTCAGCCACATTTATTCACCTCTGAGGATGAAGGAATCTCTTTCTTTAGTAGGACAAGTTCTCTCAAGCATCCTGTGTTTGAGCTGGAAGTAGTCAATAAAAGATTTTCTCCACTGTCAATAGCTGTGTGCATGGAAGCCCTGCTATGTGATAGTCATTCGTGCAAATGAGCATGTGTGGAAGTAAGTGTTCAACAGTGTGGATAAGGCACATTTAGACTCCTGATATTGCACACCTGATCCCTATTTGGCTAATTTTTTTGGAGGTATCTGTGGTATTGTCTTATGTTTGTGTTCAGCAGATGTTTTAACAAGTATTGCTAAGTTCTACTACACTTGCTTAGCTAAAAGTATGTGGACTGGACTGTGGGAACTAATAGTGGTAGACATACTGTTGGACACTTTTTTTTTTAATTTCTGACTTTATGGAAAGCAAAACCAATAAAAAGTGAAGGATCAAGTACTAAAAAAGATATAGGAAAGGAAGACTCCTTCCCGAACATGTTCTTGGTCACAGTAAGACACAATCATACTGGGTATAGGAAGCATTTGGCATTGGCTGTGGGAAACTAAGCCTCCCACAGATTATACCGGTAATGAAATCACAGCCACTTTCTATACAGTTAATATATTGCTATGAGTTGATGGATGTCATATTGATTTCTCTGATGTGTGGATATAGGCAAAGCAATTAGTCTATATACTTTTTTAATTGAAAAGGATCTGTTTTCTGTAGTAAAACAGCAGGGCACTTCCTTTATGCGTGTATAGTTTGAAAAGTTAAGACACAGGACAGTAGCACTGCCTTCTGCTCAGTGCTAAATGCTGGCCTGGAAGGACTCCTGGGACAGAACAAGCTAGAACTCTTTGGCTTGTTTCTTAGCTTTTGATTAGTTTCTTGTCTCAGTTTGGTTTATGGCTTTATTTTCTTTTATTGTGTTCCAGATAAAACGCATCATCAAAGGGACCCTTGTGTAAACCCAACAGAATTTTTCTCTTTATTTCAAGACTTATGGTTCATAGAGCATTGCTAGGAGACTTGTGCCCAGTAAATTCTCCACCATTAACTTGGATATCCAAAAACTGTAATTTTTCTTCTCTTGTAGAATCAAGTGAACATGAAGAAAAAAGTACAGGTGCCTCAGGTGAGGTATCTTCCACCCAGCCTTGTCCTGCACCAGGATATACTCAGCCTGAAGAAGCAAAGGAGGATATGGATGTAACAAAGCAGACTAAACCTGAAGAGAATGATGACTTGGGCCCACTGCCTGATAACTGGGAAATGGCTTATACAGAAAAGGGGGAAGTCTACTTTATTGAGTGAGTCTTATTTCTTCTCTTTCTAATAGTTGTATCGTATTTAACTGGGTGGGGAAATGGTTTGTATGGTGGAGTGGAGTGGTGGCAATCCCTGCATTACTGATTTACACTGAAGCATGCTGGGTTTTAAGATAGGTAGCTGGACTACTTAGCATTTCAATGGCAGCAATTAAAGCTGTTGTTTCTTCTAGGAAAAACAAAGCTTTTGTATTGTTCTGGTGCTCGTGGGAGAGTAGCACAATTACTGAGTTCTTCCTTAAGTGGACAGAGGTGGAGAGGGTTGAGGTTTTTGCCAATTTAAAGAAAAAATTATAGGTGGTCTAAAAATTAGCTAGTGAACAGTAGAGGGAGGCCATGCTATGTTTAGAAATAATAAAATAAATGAGTGGACAATAAGGAGAATTAAATACGTGTAGAAGGTTTTTCCTTTTGGTAGGCTATACACACCTGTTGCTACTAATTAGCCAGCTCGTTGAACAAATGGATACGAAAGTTCTTTCTTCTGTAAGTGCTGTCATTAATGCATGTTACCAGCATAAGAACACAGCAAAGGAATGAATTCATATAAGCTTATGTTCCACAAAAAAAAACAAGAAAAAGGAAAAACCACCATCTTCATCAGCAGAACGCTACTTAAAGAGGTAGCAGTAATGTTTCGGTTTGCTTTAAGGAATTGCCTCAAACAATTTGGAACGTTAACCGTTATTCTGATTATTAGTAGGTAAAAATAATATTTGGTGGCGTTACATCTGCTTTAAGTCCATTATTTTATGTAAAATTCTATGAGTATCACATGAAGTGTAAACAAATGATAAGAATAACGTTTGTGCACGTGATCTTTCATGAACACTGGCATGACCAACTATAGCTTCTGGCATACACAAGGCTGAAAAGAGCAGTAACTATTAAAACATAAGTGTCTTTGCTGAAAAGGGCAAAAATATGCTTATTCTAGAAAAAGAGTAATTATAGTAACTTTGCCCAAGCAAGCAGAGAAGAACTAGGATGACCTCAGGGCTAGCTCAAACCCTTGTTTCCTTCTTACCTCACTGCCAGATTTAATTTTTCTGCACACGCTGAATGCTCTGACAGAGATCAGACTGAATTATGTGGCACTTTTATTTTACTTGTTATAGCAAAAACCTGTGATACATTTGGATGGTGGGGCACGGGATGATGGGTAGGTCACTAACACACCAAACTGTGACCGTGGTAAATACTGCAGCAGGCAATTTAATAGAAAACAAATGTATATATTGTAATAAATACAGTGAATGCAAATAGCCCTGCTGCTCTACAGAGCAACCATTCCACTTCACAAATTCCTTTGATGTTACAGCTTACTTCCTTTCCTGGAAATGCTCTGGTTTACACTGCAGTTCTGACAACGCTCATCATTCACTTCCACTAAGTGAATGTTATGTAAAGCAGAGAAATCAATCATCAGAGGTGCAGACTGGATAGAAAGACTGCTGTAAGGGCTCCTTGCCTTTGGGATTATATTCTTGAATAATGTAATTGCAAAAAAGTGCAATTACACATCTGTAAAAATACCAGATTATTTACTAGAATCCTAGCAAGGGAACAACTCTTTGATCGTTTGAATTTTCACATTGCACAGTATTCAGAGGGTTAAGTAGGAACGTAATGCTGTGGGGATGCTGTTAAATTGCCTCTTTGTTTACAAGTCACTTTGGTTAATGGCATGAAGAGACTCCATTTGCTTTCGCAAAAAACGGAAAGATAAAAAGACAACAAAAACCTGTTTGTCTAACAACATCTCCCTGAACAGTAGTAAAGATTGTACTAGATTATTAAATAATAGATGAAAACCAAACATTTTTAAAGTGTACATCATAATGGGTGAAAAAAAAGTCGTGCTAGGCAGCATCTTTTATTGCTTTATTTGAGGCTCATGTGAATTTTGCCTTTAAACCCTAAGGTCTTCAAGCAGTAAGCAATCTCAAGTTCCCGGTTGTCGCAGGTATATCAAAATGGTCTTACATTTCGTGACAGCATTTTCATTCATTCACCTCAAACTAACCTCTAAAGTCTGTGCGTGAGCTCATTTATCAAAACTGCCATCAGAAGTAACGTGGCAGATTTACAGTGAGAGAGGGAGTGACTTCATAAGATGAAAGGTAACTGACTGTAGTCAGTGTTATTTATTTTTTAATCACTAATGGACCAGTTAGCATTTTGTAAAGCACACTGGAAGGAATCCCCTCTGCCTCAAAGTCTAAAAAGAAAAAAAATCATATACTAGATTTACTGGATGATTCGGAGGACAGTTGTATTTTAGAGCATGACTTGGTCTTGGTCCTTTCTTTCCTTTTTTTTGACATAGGTGCATGACCTTTTGTTTACCTATATTAACATTCACAGACAGAACAGGAAGAGATCCCTTCTCACTGCATAATACTTACCACTGTTTTTCAGGAAGAGCTACTTAAGTACATTTCTTGGGCTGTTTCCAGCCTCCCTTACATATGAATCCAAATTTTCAAATACAGGCACACACCACACAAACAGGAGTCCATCTCCTACATTTGCTTTCACAGAGAACACATGCTAATGAGAACATGCAATAATTAATATAAATTGGAATACCACCAAAAACCCCTCCAGTTCTGCTCCTTCTTTTCTACTTTAAATAGGACTGATGAGAGTGATGTATTTTGGCATGCTTAAATAAATTATAGCCATCACTGATTTTTACTTTTTTCCTCTCCCAGGGCTAAGGAAAGGCTCCAATTCCCCATAGCCTTCAGATCTCACCTTGCCAAGTACTCTCCAACCACATACTAGGGACATGAGTATCATGTTGTCCTCACAAAGTCAGCAGATGTTGGCTGCATTGGATCCCGGGCAATCGATGTTGGCTGTGTTGGTCCAGTGCAGTGCTGAAAGGAGTACAAAAGGACCGAGTCGCCCGGTGCATCTGCTATCATGTGCAGTCAGCCTTAAATGTGGCCCTCGCCCGACTCTCCAACTTTCAGCACATACACCATGACATTATAGACTCTCCTGTAGAGATGGTTACACATTATGATACTTATTTATAAAAGACAGAATTGATTTCGGCTCTCCCTCTATCCCTCTATCCACCGATAGTCAGCAGAACTCTCTGGAGGGGGTGCAGGGAGAGTAAGACATTAAACCAGGAAGGGCTGCAGTTCATTAAGAGGAGCTGCAACCAAGCCTTGATGAACAGTCTCAAGGACATTACGTAGCCCATAACAAAAGCTGTTTATACTGTTCAAATGCACATACAGTTTCCTTTGCTCATACTACATTACTAACTGTTTTGCTACTGGAGGAAAGTCTAGAATAAACTCAAACTTCTGTAACATATCTTAAAGGATCATCTTCTTTGACTTATGGTGATGATTTTTAGGGGAATTTGGCCACATGAGGTTTAACCACTTTCCAGTACATCTCACAGACATTCAGGCTCTTCCTTACTTCAGCACCTACTTCTCTGAGCAGTCTAGTCAGCACTGCTTTTTGGACCAGTTGCAATATCTTTTTCTAGTTGTTAAAGCTGCTTTTTTTATGAGACCATCATAAAAGACTACAAAACAGCTATAAAATAAGCCTCTGCCAAGGACTCTCCTCTTCACAGTAAAAAACAGCCATTAAGTTTTTGAATACAGCTGGTGCTATTTCAGGTGTTACCTGAAAAGAAGTACAGCTACAAATTGGAAAAGTAAAACCCTGACCTAGTTTGTTTCTAAGAATATTACTACTGACTTCAGTGGGATCAGTATTTCTTCTTAGTAGTTTTTAAGGTAGGAAAGTCTTCTGATTGCAGGAATAACATGTTTATCCTAACGTCTTGCTTACCTGAAGAATCAGGATATATTTAGCTGTTCCTGGTCGCTCCATCAGTTCGCCATCAGAAAGCAGGATATATTAGTTAAGCCTGACTACACCATTACATTTGATAAATTTATCTTTAGTGCTAGAAGATACTAAATCTACTGAGGTGGAAGTACACCGTTCTACCTGCTAAAGATTACATCCATATCCTGCAATAATTACCCAATCTCTTACAAGCTAGCATGGCACTTTCGTGAGTATGTTACAGCATCAGCATATCAGTGCATAATATTGAAATTCTCCATGTTTTGGTTATATGGTTATTTCTATTACTTTAATTAGGTAGCGATTAAGATGATGGATTTTTTTCACATGCTGTTTTTAATATTCAATTCTGATGGGATTCTTCTTCTTTGGAAAACAACCCATCTTATATCGGTATGACTTTATAGTGTGGACACCTCTGAATCATCAGGGCTTGTGTGAATTTGATCATAGATGCCCATAATTCTTTTTCCTTGCTTATGTGTTGTATTGAATTGGTCAGTTTGGGTCAGCATAACAATGATCAGATCTCTAACGCGCTTGGGACTTTAACATGACATACAGTGGGACAGGCAACAGAAAAGATCTTCCTTATTTTCTTTCTCCTGAGACTACTTCCTTGCCTCATGACAAATTAATTAGGAATGGTATTAATTAGATGGTAGAACTGGACAGAATTTGAGGAATGCAGATTTTTTTTCTTCTCTTGTCTTCTGATGTTATAAAGATATTCTCAGTCTGCACTAGTGCTGTATTGCCCCTTGCTCTCACTTGCTGTTTTTATCTACACTGACATCCAGGTCAAACTGCCAGCTCAACTCCTGTTGTCTTTCCTCCCTTTCTCATTTCTTGTCTTTTCCCCAAAGGTCTCTGCTGCTCTGCTCTGCAGAATTCCTCTTCCAACACCTTACCTCTCATGTTTGTAGTGGTATTATAATTTTTCTCCTTTGTATTTATTGAACTAGAAGATTCAGCTCACCTGGCTTGCCATATAGCATTAGGTATCTAGTATAAACCTGTTGCCAAGACTCCTTCTGTGGTCAACGGAGAGAGATAATCACCTCCAGAGGCTGATTCGTCCTGTCCAAAGATAAGTGCAGATTTAATTTGCCAAAATGTAGGTGCATCTACCA